CAAATTATTTTTTCGCTGGCGTGGACCCTTTGTATGTCGTTATAGATCCCTGGGGGTCGATATAGACTACTTTGGGAATCACTTCACTAAACCAAAGAAGTTCAAGATTTCAATTGCAACCTTAACTGATTCTGCACCAACCAGATTAAAGAGAATGTGCAGCACACGGTATATAATTATGGCGAATTTATTTCTTATTTTAGAAGAGGTTGCCCACCATTACATCGACCGGAAATATTGGCAGTATTGTCAAATGTGTGTGTGACTGTCCCCTACAATTACCCAATAAAAATTCATTTGTTTCTAAAAATTCTTGTACAGAATTAAATAAGTATAAGTCAGCATGACTACTAATCTTAATTAATGAGACACATCTTTCATACACTTTTTCTCAAAACAATATCGTGGTACAATAGCAAGTTGGTCATTGTGGACCAAATCTGGTGTTGAATCCATCCCATTTGAATAGTACTTTATGTCATCATTATTTAGTTGAGTTGTAATTGCTTTAATGATTTGCTTGACAATAATCTCAATTGTTTGCTCATATATTGTTTTTGATAAGTACAATATTAATGATTTTGGTTGTAATTCTCGCCGTTCAATGTGTTCACGAATGAATGGGTCAAACTCTGCTAGTAGTTCTAGAGCACTCATAAAATTACCATCTACCACGATAACACGTTTGATCTTTATTAGTTGGTCCTGTAACTTTTTATCTAAAACAGACTTATTTTCTTTTAGTGTCAACCAAACTAACACATTAAATGTTTATGCTCAATAGAATTTTCATGATCTTTTAAACAACTTGTTACTTGTTTAAAATCAGATAAGCCGGTTGTGTATTGAGAAATTTGTTTTAGAAAAAATTTTGCACGTTAAACAAAAACCACTACCAATACTAATTGAATAACATAACTAAGATCTTTCCAGCACTTGGCCATTTTTAAGTTTTTTAATGAAATAATCATTCGAAAATGATCTCTTTGGTTCTTTGTATTCTCTTACCAAAACAGAATATATATTGTTTGGATCTTTATTTTGAAAATAACTCATTTCATTTGAAAGGATATAATCAATAAAATTATTAGTTATCGATTTTGGCCCCAAACCCACGTCAACATATTTCTCAAACTCAAACTAAAAATTTTTTAACACTTTTCAATTGGGGCATTACTAATGTCCTCTGGTTGAACAATATCTTTTTCAGAAGGCTTCTGCTCATCTTGATCTTGCATATTTTCATCATTAATATTTGCTTGTGCTTCTCAGTTTTCTTTGGCTAAGTTCCTTTCCCTTACACTTGCTAATGCATCGGCGTTTGTTATATTCTGGTTACTTTGTTACGTTGTTAAAAAAAGTCACACACACACACAAATTTTGACACATATAATTTTTTCTTTTTCTCTATTTAACAATAATTTTCGTTTCTCCGTTCCACTTTTACATTTTTTATCAGACATATTTATATTGTACACTAAAGACTTGATTTTCTTGAAAATAAATTTAAAAATTTAGGTCATAAAATTATGATAACACAACCGACTGTTCTTAATAAAATAAAAATATTCTAATAAATTTTTACAAAACACAATATAGTATATTTCTGAGATAATTAAAAAAAAGTACCTATAGTTTATTTTAAAAAATAAAAAAAAAATCTCTTTGTCTATACTTGCTAAAACCTAAAACGCTAATTATTATTATTTATTGGTTTATCTTTTTAAAGGGGTTTTATAAAAATAAAGTTAAGAATTATATGCCCCACTTTAAATAAATATTGTTTTTCCATTGTCATCCATTATTTGCTGTTGCTATCTATACTTAAAAAACCCAATTTATTACGAAAACCAAGACCACTTTACTTTTATACATAATATTCTCGAAAAATGTCTATAATTCACATAAAATGATTGCTTTTTTTTCATCCATATAGAAGTAATTAAGTTACTCACCCAAAATTTTAAGATAAAATACATATTTATGGGAAACCTTGACAGTTTCAATCTTTGAAAAATTGAAAATACAGAAAATACTTAACCATAACTTCAAAAACTTTCTACTTAAATAATTTAGAAATGTGTATTGATACTTAATTTTTACTCTTGAATAAACAGGTACCTTTTAATTTCAGGTATTGTGTACAGATCACAGCAATAAATCAATATATTATTTTAACTTAAAATTATTATTGCTCAAAAATCAGGGGCTGCAGAAATAGTGTCACTACGTTTTTATAAATGCTCGTTGTTCGTCGGCCTATGTGTATTATTTATTAATTTCCGCGTATTCGGTGGTAGAGCGGAAGGGCAAAAGTAAATTGATCTTGCAACTGAAAATAGAAATAAATTTCATATAGTATTTCGGGTATTTTATTTGATTTGTATTTTATACTGGTTTTTTATTTTATTTCTATTTTGAATGTAAGCATCTTTTTCTGTTTATTATTTTCGACGGGGAACGGGAGCCCCTAGTACCCGGGGGCCCTGGGCTGCAGCCCATTTAGCCCATACGTAGATCCGGCCTTGCACTTGATGCGTACATCTTTGTTAAACAGACATGAGGGAAAATCTCCTCGAGATAAAAAAAAATCCAGAAGAGAAGAAGGATTCCATACACTATGCAAGCAAAGGACACCATGGAACAAAAGACAAATAACAACAAAACAAATAACAACCTCGCGTAACAAAAGACTAATTCGAGATCAAAGTAAACCACTTTCAAATGCCAACAAAGTATAGAAAAACTGCAGTAAGGAATACTAAAGGCAAAATAATAATAAAAAAAAGTGTGCGTGTAATTATGTACGCACGTAAGAAGTTATACTTCTTTGGCGTAACAAGATTAAAATCTTTCTAAAAATCTTTAGCAAGACAAGCTGGGCCAAGGACGAAAGGCAGTCACGAGCAGAGTTGAACGATAGTAACCTTCAGTCAATCGGATCAGCCAAACCTGAGATAATCACGATTTAAATAAATTTAAACACCCCCCCCGCGCGCACAGGGACAATAGGACCAATAACACGGGGGGGTATCAGATTATATCTGGAGATGAAGTGAACCGAATGTGACACCTGAGACCTCATATTGAATGTGTCGGCGGGAAGAAGCGTGCCTGAGAAAATTAAGACATCCCCCTGAAGAGCCCCCCCAAGTTATGCTCATTTTAAAATAATTAAAACATTTAAAACAATTAAATAAAATAGAAGCAGGGCACCCAGCTACTCGAAACTGGGCTTGATTGTGAGCAAACACAAGAGTAATCCATTAGAACCGCCCCGGAGTCTGTAGTTGCAAATGGGGAGCGCTGGCTCGGGGGAAAAAAACGAAAATAACTCCCCCCGGGGAGGAATAACTGTGACGTAAATGGTCACGTACATCCCAACGATACACAAAGTAGTAGGTGATCCCAAAGTTTCATCTTTCTATCTCTGTAATATCGTTACGTCATCAAAAGATCGAACCCCATAGGAATAACATAAGGATTCTAATTTTAGTGACAACGCCTCCTCCCTAAGCCCACTATCTACACACGAATTATAACAGATGAAACAGCTCAATGAGGAGAACCTATGGTTCGAGTTTCATTAACAAATCTCAAAATCCTCGGAGCTATGCGGGATTTTAAAAAAATTATAACTAAAATAATTTTAAAATGTTAAATATATGGGTAAAGAAATGAGGCTATGGTCCTGAAAAAATATATCTAGGATGCTCATAGGAAGAACAATCGAACCCAGCCGGTACGGTCAACCAAGGTGGCATAGGATTCGAGTTATTTCTGAGGAAGCCCTGTACGGGGGAGGGGGCAATTCTACGTATAGCTCGTGCTAATACGAAAATATGGTGGACCTCCAAAAATCAAGTTCCAAGCTCAATTCCTTAGGGGGGGGATGAAATTTTTTCCAGTCCCCATAGGATTAACATGGGAGCATGATATTGTAGTGCCCCATGCCTACACAATGGGAATGAAGCAGATCACTGGACGGGTCTTGACGAGTAGAACACTTGGTTCAAATCTCAAGTCTGAGACTCGAACAAGAGCCAAAATATTGTGAATTTAAACAAATTTAAAAAGTTTAAGACAATTAAAATCAATGGAAGAAATAGCCCTATGAGCATGAAATTATAATAACTGGAAGAGCAGATAGAGAAGGATCGAATGAGCCAGGTCCGAATGGACTGTGAGGCTCGAGTGCCGAGATTTTGGCCAAAACGCTATAGAGGGGGAATGCGTCCCAACAGATATGTTTATAACAATAGTTATTACAATCTCCGAAATATCAGTCCCATAGCACCAAAAAAGTAGCATGTTAAAATATTAGACAACGGTGTGTGCGCACGCATCGGTGTCGTGAAGGTATGCGCGCGCATCCGTGACGGTGTGCGAGCGCATCGTAAAAATTTACCCTCATCCTTTTTCCCTAACGCCCAAAAAGAAGTATAACTTCAAAAATAAATATACGAATACACAAAAGGCTCTTATAATTTGCTACAATGTAATAAAAATGTGTGTTTATATTCATCGCACTGCGTTCGTAGTAAATACATCTAAAATCATATACTTGCAATTGTTATTTAAATAGGTAAACTAATATTTACTCTTATATGTTTTATGTACATGAAACACAATTTAAAGATTAATTTATTAATTTTTTTAAAATTTCCTATGAGTATGTTTGGTTTAATAACAAAAAGTGTTCAAACAAATGCATCAGAAAAGCTCCGTAGACGAAGGACGATCTTTCCCTACTAGTAGTGACGTCACAAATTAGCGCAAAGCAAAGGTTTGCAGATATGGGGGTATAGCTCAATGGTAGGCATTCGACTGCAGATCGAGAGGTTCCCTGTTCGAACCCGGGTGCCTTCTTCTCAAAGGAAGTGAAGCGAAATTTTTTGAGAATTTCGAAGGCGGCAATAATTTGTCCCGTACTGTATATTTCTAGACAAAGCATTTTCGTATCCGTTCCTACGGATCGGAAAGCAATGGTTCGCTGACGCGGGGGTATAGCTCAATGGTAAGGCCTTCGACTGATGTTCGAGAGGTCTCCGGTTCAAACCCGGGTGTCCCCTTCTTCAGAGAAGTGAAGAGAAATATTTTTCTGAGAATTTCGAAAGCGGGAATGATCTGTCCCGTTCTGTATATTTCTAGACAAAGCGTTTTCGCATCTGTGACGGTGTGAGCACGCATCGTAAAAATCTACCCTCATCCTATTTCTCTAACGCCCCAAAAGAAGTATAACTTCAATAATTCCTATCAATGTGTTGTGTGTGTGTGTGTGTGAAATTTATATACAGGAGAATACGGGCTTAAAGTATCCAAAAGTTATCGCTTATTATTACGGAACTACCCATCTGAATGAAATAAACTGTTCATCCATGGATTGGAAAACTCTCCGAGATTTTTTGGGTCTAGTCTCATCGGCTGCACGTGCGTGCATTATTCGGCATTCGCAGATGATAAACATTTTACACTGACTTCATTAGCCCGCGGTCACTCACGCCTGTTTTTCCTACCTTCGTTACTCGCGGGGTGTAGAGAACACCCCAAACTTTTAACACATGTATTTAATTATGGAAATAAAATTAAGTCATTATGATGCATAATTATAAAGTACAAGATGTTTTTTGTATTATACAAATAAAATTATTAAATTTATTGCATACAAATGAGACTAACACATTAATTTAAACTAAACATACAAAATTTTCATTTTAAAACACATAATTTTATATTTTTTCATAAACCAGTATATAAAAAAAAAACGTATATACCAGTAATAAATATACTTTATAATTAATGAGATAATGATAGTAGAAAGTATAGAAAAATAATATTTTAATCATTTTCCAAACATTCAGAGCAGACTGTATACAAATGCTCAACTTCTCGCGGGAGTTCTCAGCCCTCCAGATAAACTTTTAAAAGTTATTACATTCCAATCATTCGAGAAAGAGGGTTGCATAAGGCCTGAAGGTTCAATGACCTAAAATGTGCAGCTACAGAAAAATCGTGGTTCTGCGCATTCTTTTTAGAATCCTGGGAGGGTTTTCTTGTTGCTGGGTGTATAGAACACCCCGCGCGAGTCATCGCGGTTTAGCAAAAATGTGGACGCCACAGTAAAACAAGCAGTGCATACTTAATTTAAATCGGTCACACGCGTGTACAGAGATGTGTTCGAACAGAATGAATGTCGTTACTGGCTTATCTAATCGACTTATCAGTACTCCTACAAAAGGAATCACGCACACGATCAACAGTGTCTTCTATCACGAAAACTTAAGGATACTTTGAGATACCAAAGTTCCCGTCTCCTTTCCCGTTGGTGGATAGATTTTGATGTCGGAGGATCGGCATTCCATTTTGTTCGAACTCGTTGCTGTACACGCGTGACTCATTTACATTCCGTTACCCAAAGTACGCACTGTACCTTTTAATGTGGCGACCATATCTTTACCAACGAAATCAGTGCAGCATGTTTATCGTCTGCAATTGCTGAAAAATGTGTGGACGTGCGGCCGATTGGATTCGACCCAAAACGGACCCAATCCACGAATGAGCAGTCGGATGAGTAGCTGCGTAATAATAAATAATAAGCTTCTAGATACTTTTAGCGCAGTATATGATTAAAGATGTTATATACCACAGAGTTTTCAATTTCTTCCGTCTTGATTATAACCGAAATATTATTGATATATAAAGCATAAAAAACTGAAATTTTCAATTTCTTAAAAATATTTTATTCTAAAACATTTTTTCGAGAATTTTTTATGTATTGCTTGCTATTAAATTGCTTAAAAGTTAATTAAAAATTATTGGAGGAATCTAATTAAAGAGGTGAGTAAATAACCTCTAACCTTTTTCTCTGCAGCTTAATTGAACTAAAAATTTTAATTACAACTTATTCAAATTATTTTCAAGGTATTTAAAGTATTCTCTTAATGCAAACTTTTTAGTATTTCTTAAATTTTCCTAGCACTGGGTAAATAAGAGAGCATGCGTTACTGTAAATAATAAGTCAAGATTCAAGATCTACAGGGCTAACTGCTCCGTTGTTTTTTGTTAAGAAATCACGATTTACGAAAGAAAAACAAAGAAATTCATGTTTCTCAAGGTTTTCATACTGGCGTGGTGTGTACCAAATCGTTTAGACCAGTGTTCCCCAATCTTTTTATCACCGCGGACCGGTCAACATTTGTTAATTTTACCACGGCCCGCTGAAGAGGAAGACGTTGATTCCTTATATTTTAGGACTGTAGGGAGGATGTTCAAGTGTTATCCAATGAAGTTTATTATTTTTCTTACGGAGGGTTTTGCATTGTCATGGAAAAGTGTAACATTGCGGGCGATAGAGTAGAAATCTTTTGGGTGATATACAGTATGTGTGTATTTTAAAATTCGACAAAAGATCAAAGTGGTATATTTTATTAATTGTGCGGCAATCATGAAAAAATTAATGAAAACAATACCTAGACATTCTCAAAAAACAGTATCGAGAGAGTTTTTCTAATTATTAAATAAACGTTTGCTTTTAGTGGAACATTTTTAATTGTTATGCTTCATTCCATATTGGATCCTTTTGTTTTAGTGGGTGTAGTGATGCAACTCAACTTTCGCCATAAGTTAAAATTCACGCCAAAGAGGCATTTTCTTCCATTCCATAGTGATTTAAATAACTTTGACAAATTTCTGTACCTTTCAATTTTTATTCAAAATTTGAGGCCCTACCTTGATCCGAACTGGAACTTCTTACTCAATCCGAACAATGCATTGCACACTTCCGTACATTAGGCTTATTTCGTTAATTATTAATCGTCGGCCATCAACAATAAAATCAGGAATTTGCCACGCTAGCTTGGTTATTCGTCACGACCAATTCTAAGTTTTCACTTTTAAGCACTTTGGTCTTTTGTATATTTAGCACTTCGATGAGGTGTCATTACCAAGCTGGTCATTCATTCTGTGCCAAATTTCAATAGATCTCATTCTTTGATAGGTTAAAAATGTAATTATAATTCCCTGTGCAGCTTCAGTTGCTACTTTGTACTTACTCATCGTGCTAGTGATTAAATAAATGAACGCATGAAAAATAAAATGATACCACTGGATTATTTAAATAAATATATTTCCGTGGTTGCCGTGGCAAAATTTATAAGACCATTACTCTAATCAATGTTTATCTGGTGCCTTTGAAAACATACCGTGTGTGGAAGGGGAGCCGATGCACGTCAAATCAGACGAGACTCAATATTCTCCGGTTGATGTGGCGGGGTAGTTTGGAGAGGGAGGCAGTTCAGGTGTCGTCCTCGTCACACAAAAATACGAGCTTCGTCATCAATAGGCAGCTTTGTAGAGTGACGTAAGTATTATTAAAAAAAATCATTTACATTTGATCCACCTTCCCATGTGTGATCCCTTTTTAATGGAGTTTGCGAAGCTTTGGAATCGGAGGACTTAAAATAATTTTAAAACCTAATTTTTTACAAATGAATTATTAGGCATGATTAGACGTCACTAGGAAAATAAACGGAACGGAATAAAATAATGAACTATTGCTTTTAAAAAATAGTTTCCATGAGAGAATTTCAGAAAAGTTTCTCGATACAATAACAGTGCAGTTAAAATCGTGATTTTCCGTTTCGTAAAAGTAAAACGAAACACTAAGTGGATTGTACTTGACCTAAAACAACATTTTCCGGTGATTGGATAATTTTAAACTTGATTTTGAATAATTTCGAACATAAAATAGGTTATAGATGAGTTCCTGAGAACAAACTTTTGATTTTCTTTTGAAGGTGAAAGCTTCTAAGCTTTGACTGATAACCCATGCTCTCCAATGTTCCCAGATTTTCATTACATAAAACGTTAAAATATGTAGAGAAGAATTTTTTCAAAAAATTCTCTATATAAATTATATACAGAAAGTATAATATTAATTTGTGAAGAATTTTTTTATATCAGAACATTTTTCATGAAATGACATGAGTATTTGGTTTGTGGTATTTATTTAAAAAGTAAAATTGATAAAAAGAATTTTTAAAGAAATGCTCATATCATCATCTTTATTCTAAGCTTTTATGAAGGTAATTTTTTTTTTCATAAATTGTGATATATAGAGTTTATTTAACAGTACTAATTTTAGATATTTTAAAAAATATACATTTGTAAATTATCAAAATCGGATAGCTGTAAGTAAGTATAAAACATAATTACTGGGAATTTTTATAAGTATCAAAAATCTTTCTCGTTAAATAAAATCCTTCACTTGATATATTCTTAAATTTTGTGCATTTTAATGTGAAACACTCATAAAAAAATGTCGCCATCAATTTTGAGGGAATTTAATAAAAGTTGATTCAAGAACCCCCTCTGTGGGTACATTTAAAATATTTTGCGTTATTTATATAAATTACTTAAACTAGACAACAATGTTTTTCCAGTTTTTGTTTCGTCCTATTTAGCAGTTTTTATTTAATCGCCATCCAAGTGAGTGAATGTCCAATTTTGAAGCAACATCAGGACGACCGAACCTTTTCATTCTGAGCCACGTGACAAAGGCGATACCTCCCCCTACGCAAACAGAAGTCATTTGAGACAGACCCTGCATCCTCCCTTTTATATGGCAGCTTAGGGGCAATCGACTCGGGCTTGCGTGTTTTTCGAGCCTTGTAACGTGCAGAATGGGCACGTTAAATATGTCAAGGCACAAACGTCTCCTCGTCGGTGTGGTTTGGAAGTTAGGCGACCAGCTCAGGTGTCACCCTCATCCCTTGACCATGGTTCAAAATGAAGAGGTTCGTTGCCAAAAATAGCTGAATAGTGTGACGTTAATATTTATTCACTCATCTGCATGGCGGGCCATAATTACCATCAAAATCTGACTCGCAATTAAAAATGTTATCTATAGTAACGTTGACTATATTAAATGTTTCTTTTTCTATTCAAAGAGTCCGGAGGAAAGAAGGGTCGGCAAAAGGAGCGTCGCCTTATGAAAGGATTCGACATCGGCCTCGTCGAGAGCTCGATCCAGACTACCCCCGAGGCTAGCGTAGATGACACCAACCAAAACCGC